GGAAGGGCAGATCAAGTGCTTCCCAGATAAGGTCAAGTTAAAAAAGTTCATCATCACCAAGCCCTTGTTTTATGAAATGTTAAAGGGATTTATCTAAGAAAAAGAAGATAAAAAATATGTATAGTAAAATGATAGCAAATTCACACTTATTAACAACCACACCTAAAACAAAAACAAACCAAGCAAACAATTAGAACAGGAACAGAATCACAGAAATGGAGATCACATGGAGGGTTAGCAACAGGTGAGTGGGAGGAGAGAGGGGGAAAAGGTGCGGAGAATAAGTAGCATAGATGGTAGGTAGAAAATAGACAGAGGGAGGGCAAGAATAGTATGGGAAATGTAGAAGCTAAAGAACTTATGACACATGGACATGAACTAAAGGGGGGAAATGTGGGTGGGAGAGAGTGTGTGGGGTGGAGGGGAATGAAGGGGGATAATGGGACAACTGTAATAGCATAATCAAAATATATTAAAAAATAAATTTAAAAAATGAAAAAAAAGGAAATACAGGGTTTGGCCTGCATTTTCATAGATTTGAAAACTTTTAGGAAAATACACCCTAGATGCAGGACAAATTAAGCAATTGTTCACTTCAGATAATGGGCCAAAATGAGGGGGAGGATGGGGTGATGTCATCCATCCAGGTGAGGAATCCACTGTGGGCTGGAGGTAATGGACAACCTTGCAAGAGGGTGTGAGTGCAGTCCTGAATATGGGCAGGGTTTAGATTGGTTGGAAAGATAAAAGCATCAGCTGGGAAGTGAGGGGGACCCATTGAAGAAACAATGAAACTTGTCTGGCGTGAAAGGAGGCATAGACTGTGCATCTTCAAAGGAAGCATTTTATCTAAAAGACCTCAGTGACCTCTGGTTTGGAAATGTGTGGTTAGGAGTCTCTATGTCTAAGACAGAAGTGGAATCTCAGTTACTGAGATAAGGTAAGAGATAATGTGAGGGAAATTTCAAACCTATACTGAATAACCTTTCTATCTTTCTTATCTAAAACATTAAAAAATTCATGTCCAAATCCAGGATTTATCCAGATTTGTAGGTTAAAGATTTCAAGTTTGAAGTATTTCAGGTGAGAGATTTTATAATAGATGCTAACAGTAAACATGAACTATGGGTAAGTATGTGATGCAGAGTTTGTTCTCTAAGTAGGTGGGCTTTTTTAAAGAGATCATGGTATCCTCCTGTCACTTATACTTTCTGAAAACTTTTAAAAAATTATCAAAGTATAATTGATATATAATATTTTATATAGTTTCAGGTGTACAACATAGAGATTCAACATTTACATTCCTTATGATGTGATCACCACAATAAGTCTAGTAACCATCTGTCACCGTACAAATCTATTACAACATTATTGACTGTATTCCCTGTGACTTACTTATAACTAGAAATTCATACCTCATATTCTCTTTACCTTTTTCACCCATTACCGCACACCCCTTCTCTCTGGGAACCATTAGTTTGTTCTCTGTATTCATGAGTGTTTCTGGTTGTTTGTTTGTTTGTTTGTTTGTTTTTATTCCACACATAAGTGAGATCATACAGTATTTTTCTTTCACTGTCTGACTTATTTCACTTAGCATAATACCTGCTAGGTCCATCCATATTGTCACAAATAGTAATATTTCATTCTTTTTTATAACTAATATTCCATTGCGTATATAAACCTATGTTTTTTTTTCCAATGGACACCTAGATTGCTTTCATATCTTGCTATTGTAAATAATGCCACAATAAAAAAGGGCACATGAATCTTTTTGATTTAGTATTTTTATTTTCTTGAGGTACTCAGAAGTGAAATTGGTCACATGGTAGTTCTATTTTTAATTCTCTGAGGAACCACCACCCTGTTTTCTGCAGTGGCTGCACCAGTCTGCAATCCCACTGATAGTGCACTAGGGTTCCCTTTTCTCCATATTCCCTCCAACTCTTGTTGTTTGTTGATTTTTGAAGATAGACACTCTGACAGGTAAGAGGTAATATCTCATTGAGGTTTTAACTTGCATCGCTCTGATGATTAGTGATGTTGAGCACATTTTCATGTCTGTTGGCCATCTGTATGTTGTCTTTGTAGAAGTGTTTATTCAGATTCTTTGTCTAACTTTTAATAAGATTGTTTGTGGGGCTTTTCAATGTTGAGTTGTACAGGTTCCTTATAAATTTTGGATACCCCTTATTGAATATATCTTCTTCCATTTTGTTTTGTTGATGGTTTCCTTTGCTATGCAAAAGATTTTCCTTTTGATGTACTTTCATTTGTTTATTTTTGCTTTTTGTTTCTCTTGTCCAAGAAGACATGTTCCAAAAGATACTGCTTTAGTTTTATTTCCTATATATTCATTCTACCTCCTTTTCACTGAGACTCAAATTAAGCACAGACAACATCACCATTACTGTTTGAGAAGTGATGTCCTTGCTTTCTTGCACTTGTATTCTCTCTCTGCCTATGAGAAAATGTTTATTATAAATTATATGTGTGTGTGTGTGTGTGTGTGTGTATAGTGTGTGTGTGTGTGTGTATGTGTGAAAATATAAGCCTTTCATTAAAATTCTTATTATAAAAAGTGTAACATCTATGGGCTAGTGAGCTTTTGTGGTTATTTAAGGGAAGTTTTGTGAAAGAACGATATTTACCTACCATTTTCTTCCCTACTGCCTTAACACAGTAGATTTATTTTTCAAGTTAATTTTTATTTACTTTACACAGGGAAACTATAACAACACATGATTCATTTGTATCTTAGCCTTTAAGAAATTACCTACCACCAACTCTTAGATATAACAATTAATTGGTGTACAGCTGTGTGAATTTGAACATACTATCCTATTTATTATTCTTTCTGTCAATGACAATACCTCTGCCTACCTGTGACGTAGGTTAAATAGCCACTTCTACTTCTCTAATACAGGTGAGGGATCTGAGACAGAGATGTGCAATTACATTCCCAATATCTGTTAAAACCTGTGCCTTAGACAGAGCTGGAACTCAGTTCTCTTGGCCCCTTCCCTAGGATCTGTCCCCTTTCCAACCTGACCTTCCCTATATCAACTGAGGAAACTGACTATTTGAATAAAAACTGCTGAAATGTAACATTATTAAGAGGATGGGTTTACACATACATATATATTCATGCAGAAAGCCAAAAGGATGACATCATATATCTGATAAGAAAGAGTGAAATGTAATGATAAACTGAATGAGAAGTCAGAAAGCTAATCTATAAGAACTCTTCCCCCAAATCACATGATATACCACTCAAGTTCATTATTTTTTGTTGAATGTCATTTCCCATAACTTCTTGGACTTTTTGCATGTTGATAAATGCATTCTTAGGTTTCAGAAAATTATGATTCTTTTGGCACTTACCCAGTCTTTCAAACTTATGTGTTGGTTGGAGAAGTACAGGGACATCTTGTCTTAATAGACAAGCAGTTGGGTGCTTGCTGAGTATTACACATTGTGCCAGGTCTTGGGAATTGAGCAGTCTTTGCCCCTGGAAAACTCAGGTTGTAGAAGGAGTTTGAAATAAGGATTATAAAAATCGGGCAGAAAAAACATCCTGGTTCAAGGTATCTACTAATGCCTTAGCTTTGTTGGGGAAATTAGATTTTTCAAAATGACAGGCAACCCGTTTACGATTTCTACCCTTTTGGTGAAATAAATTTCACAAACATGAACTGGAAGATGCAAGACTGTAGGTCTGAAGCAGGTAGTGATCGGCAACTGAACCAACAAGGAGAACTGATCCTTAGCTGAGAAAATGCCTTCGTTCCTGCAGAAGGAGGCAGTGCAGGGCAAGAACAGCACTCATCCTTCAGGGGCTCAGAGTAAACTTTTGTTGAGTGACCAACTCAACAAGTCCACAGGGCTGTCACACAAGTTCAGCCTGAGGGCAGTCAAGTGGGTAACAGAGTGAATTTGCCTCATTTTGGTGAACTTGACTGTCCCTGCTGACAGCATGGTAGATCTGCTGGGACAAAGGGTGCCCCTGCACTCTGAGATGATCCCAGTGTTAATTAGTGGCCAGGAATCACAGGCAGTTCCTGGATCAACATCAGTGTTCAGTAAGGCCTTTCTGGGGAAGAAAAGAAAGAGGAAAACTTTTTCAGAGGTGTAGGAGGCATGCTCAACCACATCATTTACCCACTCAATTCGATTTTTATATTGTTTGAAGTCACAAAAGTTGCAACCAAGAGAAACTAGACTACAAGTACAATTTTTAAATGCCATCAGCCTAGCAGAAACATTAGACAAAAATCACAAGTTTTATTGTATTTGCAATTAAATAGATCAAATGTAATGTCCACAGAAAAGCCTCAGTAATTAGTATAAAGATTAATATAGTGAAATGTCCCTGGTTTAGCAGACCTCCCAAGCAAAGCTGAAATAAAGAATTAAGTATATTATCAAATAGTGTATGCATGTTAATGCCCAAAATCTAAGTCCCCAAATCCCTGATGCAATTATTTTTCATTCACATTAATTGTTCCTAACAGATGACATTAATGACTTTGAGTTAAAATGTGTCCAAAGGAAGTTTTCAGAAGATCAATGCTGTTTAGAAATAAGGTCACTTTTATAATTATTTGCTCAGATTTTAACTACTGCTCAACATAATAAGGTTAACATGGTGATTGTTTTTCATGTGAATATTAAAAGTTAATTTTCACATTAGCCACTAAGTGCATTGGAGTATTCGCAGTTTTCTTGCTACTTATCTTCCAGCTACAACTTATTTTTTCCCAGAGCTTATTTTTCATCATAGATTGACAGGCTGTAAAGTGTGATTATTGTTTATAAGTTATAATTTGTACATGCATGTGTATAGAACACCAATAAACTAGAATAAACATTTTTGAGTCAGAACATGTATTATCCAATCTAGAAATGTCAACTCTTTTGAGATTTACCTGTCCAAGGTAGGATTTTGAAACAAACAATTAAATCATCATGATTCAATGTTTCTGCTTGTTTTTACCTAGAAACTTCACTCTCGCATCTTAGATCTTTCATCCGGAGATTTGCTTTCCGATGTGGAAAGAAGCCAAAGTCTGATGCAATCACAAAATAATGTGAAGATGCATGTGAGTTTCCTGTTGCTTTCAGAATACTTGTTTAGGTTATTATTTCCCTTCTATCAAATATGATGTCACAAGTGAACCATAGAGTGCACCCTTGAAGCATTGTCAGACAGATAAAATGCTTTCCTTTCTTGTGTTCTCTGAAATTCAGTATCATGTCCTCCAGCTGAGAGAGTGAGCAAAAAATGTCACTCTTGGCAAAAATATCATAAATCCTGGCTTTCTCCCTGGGATACCTTTTTGGGTATTGATTACATCTCAAAGTGTCTGCGAAATGGTCAAGGAGCTTTTTATTAAAGCCCATGCTCCATATTAGTCATCCTACCTTTATGATATATTATGTATGAACTTTTAAAAATTTATGGGCTGTACATTTTTTTTCTTTAGCCAGGGTTAGCTTTGTGCTTATATGGCAAAACTTTAACCTGCATCGCCTTAACTATCACTGACATACAAAACTAACTTGAAAAATACCAGAGCCAAGTAAATATACAATGAAAAATATTAAGCTTAAAACAATGATAGATGAACATTGTGGATAACTGGCTTTTTACTTTACTGTATAATTTTATAAGTTAGCTAGTATATTCAATTTCAAAGGTAAATATTCTCAAATTAGATTGGAATGAAATTTTAGTGGAATTCTGTCACTTTAAATATTTATGAATACTGTAATGGCATCCAATCTATAATATAGCCTGAAGGTCAGGAATATTTTAAGTGTGCAGTTTTTAGCCAAGAAACACTTACCTTCATTTTCTTTCTCCTTTTTTAATTAAAATTATGAGTTTTGCATTGTATTTTTCAAAGTTAGAATGTTAAAGCATACAAATGATTCAAGATAATAATCTAAAATACACTTTAAATAATGTAAATGGGGTATATTTTGCCAAGTAAATCAAAACAAGATGATGTTGCAGTGGAAGCCAATATACATTTTTGAAAAGAATTTTAATTATAATCATTATCTATTACTAATAATAACCATTCTCAGTAGGATGCTTGGTGGTCTGTATATGTCTAGGCATCCTGGTGTTGTTCAGGGCCTTAGTATATAGCGTAGTGACTAGGACCTGGGTCTGACATCAGAATCTTATGTTGGCTTGGTGACCTTAGATATTAACTCCTTAATGCTTCAGTTTCCCCATCTGAAAATGAGCATAATTATGTTTCTCTTATATTTCTGAATGTTTTTGGAAATGTACTTAAGAAAATACTTGCTAACAATATTGGCAATAGTACGATCTCTGCTGCTTTAGCCCTCTTCTATTCTTTGTAAATATGTGGTGCCATGCCACAGCCACAGAAAAACATGACGAAGATGGAGACATCTATGTCTCTCTAGCAGCTCACACCAGTGACCCCTAGAAACAAAATGCACCCGTTCTTGGCTATTGCTCATCACAATTCCTACATACAAGGCATCAGACAATGATGGTGTATCAAGAAGTATCATATGGATTTCCTTAGGGAGGCTGCAAACTTAGGATCTGGTTAAAGAGTGAAGATATACATATATAAAAACATTTTTAATAATAGTAGCAACACCTGCCCTGGCTGGTGTGGTTCAGTGAGTTGAGTGCTGGCCTGCAAACCAAAGGGTCACCAGTTCTATTCCCAGTCAGGCCACATGCCTGGGTTGTGGGCCAGGGTCTGGAAGGGGGTGCTGCGAGAGGCAACCGCACATTGACGTTTCTTTCCCTCTCTTTCTCCCTCCCTTCCCCTTTCTCTAAAAATGAATAAATAAAAAATCTTTTAAAAAAACAGTAGCAACGCCTAAAACTTACCAAGTATTGCTATATGTCAGGGGCTATTCAAACTTAACAATAATCATATGTGGTAGGTGTTTTCATTATTTCCATTTACAAAGAAAGAAATTGAGGCATGGATGGGTTAAGTAATTTTTCCCAAGGTCAAAATTAGCGAGGGGAATAACCAGCACTTAAACAAAATAAATGGCCTTAGCGTTGAAGCACTCAATCACAGAAAGTTACTCAGTGGAGCAGATTATCCTATATGATAATCATGTGCTGATAAAGAAAAAAAAACTGCAGGAAAAAGAGTTCATTTGCATCTGTGATGTCGGATTCTGGTCCACTATTACCTTCAAACATTGATTGTCTAAGGTAGAAGAATGGTGGGAGAATGTCCCAGTAGGAAGGACTAGCCCCTTCTTCCTTTTTTGCAAGGAATTACCCTATAGTCACCCAAACACACACACATACCCCATTCCACTAGCCAATGGATGGGCTCAGGTCATTCCTTTGGTCCTGCCTCAGCTCAGTTCAGATCAGGCTGTGAGATGACACAACATGCTACCACAAGATTCACATAAGAAGTAGATCCTCTCATAGCTTCTCCTGGGGCCTTTCTACAGAAGGCACAGGTCCTGAACCAGCCACATTTGAAGCATCTGTGAATTTGTTAAAAGTACATCTTAGGTCCCACCTCAGAATTACTAAATTAGAATCTGCGTTAAACAAGATCCTGGATGAATTGTGTTCACATTAAAGTGTGAAAAGCCTGGCTTAGTAGACACTTCTCTGCTTAACCACCCTGACCCCATCTGCCTCCATGACATTGATGGGCTTTTCTCATCTTCCTGAATTATCTTCTATCACATCTGGACATCTCAAGGTCAAGACCAAGGGAGGGGCAGCAGTTCTTTCTCCAGCTAATGTTCAGAGTTCTAATTTCCTGTCATCTTAACCAGCATCTGTACCATAGGCACACACATGGGCATCAACTGGGCAAGGACACATATTTGTTAAAAGAGGCCTGGGAATGGAGTTAAGGTGTAAAAATAGGTTTAATTTTGATAGGTGTAGTGGGAAGGGATAGGTGGGAAAGACAGGAAAATCACATACGAACTTCAGTATCCTGGGAAAAGATAGACTATAAACTCTAATGGAAAGCCACGCAGAGTGTGAAAATAGGCCATTGGAGAAGCTTAGGTCTGGATGGCTTCTCAGGAAACAGACACAATCTCTCTCTGGATAGTAGTCAAATCTGTCAGGGCAAAGTCACTCCTAAGTAAAACCACCACTCTGCTAACTCAAAGCAACCAAATATGAAAGAACAAAATGGAGAAAATAGAAAGCACACAAGTAGAAGTGGAGAGTGATGTGTCTTTCTGAGAGTTCTCTCAGGGCATATTTCACATGTACACAGTGGCTGCAGTCTAAATGCCAGGTATTCCTGTGCAATAGGACCATTGCTTGGAGGCATCTGTTGATAAATAAATATGAATACCCCTTAAGTTATATCCAGCACTAAACAAGGTCATAAATCAATAGATATCATTAAAAACTGGATTTAAAGACAAGTTTTCCTTTTAATGATATTTAGAGTCAAATTTCAAGGGGAAAAACAGAGTAGTAACTTTTTTTGGCATTTTTAAGGTCACTTAAACAGACTGTTATGCAGCAAAAATGAAGTATCGATAGCAAGGCAGTTGTCTAACCCTGGAAATCTAACATTACTAAGAATTATGGATATTGATTAGACAGCAAATTAATCATACCCTCTGTCCTTATGTAGGGATTTCATATTTACTACAAGTACTTTCAGAGTAGCATTACCTTCATTCCCCAAGCTGGTGTTTAGTCACTGTCAGTTGGAATTGCATTTGGAGAACACTGATAAGTACTCAGGTACTAAAAGCACCCATAAAGTGTTAATAGATTGCATAAGTAAGTGGTTTTGCCATTCTGCAAGTGACACAAAGACAGATGGGTCCCCATCAAAGAGTTTCTGAGACAAAGATTTATATAGATAGGAGACTGGAATTAGACAGTAATGGAGAGATTCCATTCCCATGGTTGGGATGCTAAATTAGTTTAACCTGTCCAGTTGTGTTGCTTCATCTGTTACATTAGGAGCCTATAAAGTGCCTGTTGAGAGGTGTTGGGATGTTTACAACTTTGTCACCCATGTTCTTTGTAGACCCTCTAGAATTTGAACTACCTGCATCTTCTGCTAGGAAACCAGATCTATTTGATAAGATAGTCTTTATTATTTGGACAGCCAACTGATATGAAAAGTCCCATTATCTTTTACAATAGAACCTCCTTAGTCCTGAGGCTGGTGTTCCACTGTACATGGCTTCCTGGCAGGTGGTATAGAAATGCTCCAGGCATTTGATTCCTGACTTAGAATGATGCATCAGAGCCATAAGGAACCAGGGGTAATCTGGTAGAACTGCTCCACTCTACAAATGAAGACATTAAGGATCATGGAAGTTAAATTTTGTTTGTTTGTTTGTTTGTTTTTTGCTCAAAGTCTCATGTCTAATGGCAGTATGTATCCAAGGTGCTAGACTCCCGGGCTGGTACTCATGCTCTTGAACTCCAACCAAAGATGTTACTCTGTTTGCTTCCTTTCATAGCATTAGAGTCATGTTTTGATATTGATCTAATTCTTTCACCACTATAACTGGATAAAATGGGAAACTACCATTGTGAGACTTTTACCTAATGAAGATGGTACCTCTCACCAATTAAGCACCTACTTACTCCAGTTAGTGTGCTATATGCTTGCCATCTAGAACCTCACTTGGTCCCTGCAGCAACCCTATAAGATAGGCAGTATTATCATTATTCACTTTTCAAAAGAATAAATATAGCTCTAAGAGATTAATTTGTTCTATTCACTTATGCCTCATTATGAGGTTGAGTTCATATTTATTTCCCCAAAGCAAAACCCTAGCTCACAGGTTTCCTATGTTTTCAGGAATGCCAGCTGAACACAAAATCAGGAACCCCTGCTCTGAAATGCCCTGGCCTGGGAGTTGTCACCCCTGCTCATCTCTGCCCTCGCAATAGCTGTAGCAGCAGTGAACTATCTCTTTCGAGCACCTGCAGCGAGTATTCCAGCGGCTCCTCATACACGTGGCATGATGGGAAGAACATCAGAAAAAGAGTAAGGCCTCTTTTCTAGGTACTTCAGCACCAGTGTGAACCAGAAAAGAATCTTCTTCTAGTAGGAAGGTGGGAGGTGGGAAGGAGGGCTAAGAAGGAAATGGCCATTTTTCTGAGCACCTGTTCATTTACTCCTCACAAAAACTATACAGAGAAATGTTATTCTCCCCATTCTGCAGAGGAATCTGGCTCAAAAAAGCTTGAGCTGCTTGTCAGAAGTTACAAAGCACATGAGAAGTGGAATATTGATTTGACTGCGAATTACTTGGACCTCATGGAAGGGAGTTGGGAAGAGGAAAACATTTCCTTTCTGTGCTTTGGCAGAGCCCACTGAGTTTACAGGTTTCTATCAACCTGGAACCTGGAACCCTGGCCTAATAGAACTGACCACACCTCAGATCAACTCAGACATTTCCCATTAGTTTTATGGACATCCTCCATCACTGTAATGCCCAGAGACACTTGTTACTGTCCACTGCAGTTGAGAGTCAGCAAGACCACTTGCCAAGCCATGCCAGACTGAGCATCCATGAGAACTCAAAGAGAATGTTGTTGATGTTGTTGTTGTTGTTGTTTCCTAGAGAAAAGAGAGAGTAGTGGATTATCTCAATAAATGGCCCAAAGTTTTGGAAGTATCATTCACTTTGTAGGAATTTATTGCTCGGAAGTATCATGTATTATTATTAACCTCCTCTGCTCAATGTAATTAAAACACTAATTGATTGTAAGTCAGAGGGTGGCATAATAGAAAATACCATGGAAGACGACAGGCACCACAGCTCAGTGGGGGTTGGCATGTCCCTATTTAGTTGCCAGGCATCCCTTTTGCAGGTTTTTAAATAACTCTACTGCTGTAATGACTCCATCTGCAAAGTGGGCTCACACAACCAAAGATTCCTTCATGCTTTTTATAAATATCCTTGCACGGTGGTATAGGCCAAGTGTTTGAAATAGCTGTTTTCAGTTTCCTAGTGTTGAAGAAAAGCAAAGAGTAAAAGGGAATTGAAATCCCAAATCAGACTATTTGCAAGTTATTTTTTCTCATTCTTATAATTTAAGTTTACAATTCCAGGAGCATAGAAACCAGGAAATTCAAACTGCCAGGAAATATTGGTGAGGGGTAGTTTTGTCATACTCTTTGTCAAGAACTCAGAGAAAGATTTTTAACTTGAATTTAGAGCTTATTCCCTTGGACTCAGACTTCTAATACAAAGTGAGGAGCCTGCTGCGTTATCAAAACTGTTCCTTTGAAGGAGATGTTTGGAGTTATGAAGAATGACTGCTAGGGACCTGGCTCTTACCAGACAGAGAAGACTTTGTCCCCTCTCTTTGTGAATATTATTGGCTCCCAGAACCTCTTGCTCTGCTGTTTTTACTCTCACACTCTTTCATTCTCCCCTTCTGAGAACTTTTTTTCTTTCTTTCTTTCTTTCTTTCTCCCTCCCTCCCTTCCTTCCTTCCTCTCTCTCTCTCTTTCTTGCTCTCTCTCTCTCTCTCTTCCTTCCTCCCTCTCTCCCTTCCTCCCTCCCTTTCTCTCTTTCTCTCTCTCGCTCTCCCTCTCTATCTCTCATTCTTCTGAAATTCTTCCAATTAGAACAGTCCTTGATCTTCTAGGGAAACCTCTTTTTTGAAAAAAGGAGCAATAAGGCCCTTAAGACATTTCAGACATACTCCGGGTCCATGATCTGGAGATTTGAAAAGGTCCTGGCTCAGAATGGTCAGGGAGTACCAGCACACCCATCATATCTCACAGAGGAAAGTCCCAATTCTCAGGGACTCAGGGAATGAGACCCAGTCCTGCAAAGACATTTTAAATGTATGCTATTTAAGGAAGTTCTATAGTTCTTACTACGTACCAAGTACTCTTTTGGAATAACTTATATAATAAATATATAATGTGCTTTGATTTTGAATATAATTAACTTACATATTAATAAATATATGGCCAATGCCTCTTTTTTAGTCTACAAGTATTTTTTCTGGTACTGTTTTGTTTAGAAACAGAAAAGAAGCCTGCATGAAATGCATTAGCCTGCCCTACATGGAAAATTCTGGCCTAATGAATGAGTGATTACCATGTGCCACACAGCTATTCACACTCTTCATAAGTATGGGCTCATTGAATGTGCAAGATGGCTTATTAAATAGGTCCTCCAATCGCCCTCCCCCCATTTTATAGATGAGTAAACTGAGATGCGGAGAAATTAAGGAACTAGTCCAAGATGTCATAGGCAGTGACAGAGCTGGGCAGTTGGTTCCAGAACCTTCACTCTTAACCATTTGGCTATATTGGCCTTGTTGAATCAGCCTAAGACGCAGAGAAATTGTTCCAGTTGTTGAGATGCACTTGTTCCCACTAAGATCAAGAATACCCTTTTTAAAAATGTGTAGAACTGTTGTCCAGTTAAGAAACAGAAATGGTCTATGGACATTAAACCCAGGCCTCTGCCTTAGCAGCATCTCTCATCCAACTGCTCCCACTGCAAAGCTCTTCCAACTTTCCACAAAGAATGAAGCTGCCTGTGGGAAATACCTACTCCATTCCTTGGTCTCTCCTACAGGGATCCATGCTTTTTTATTTCCAGTTTCAAAATTGTTCCAAACTTTTCTCAAGTTATTGAATACCATAACCTCCTGTGGAAAACTGAAGAATGTAGCTAATCTCCCCAGGCAGAGATCCTGGGTCCGGGGACATTTGTGCCACTGGCCCTGGGATGAATTAAACCACAGTGTGGGAAGACTCTGGAAAGGCAGGAAGGAGGCAGGTGGGCAGAGGCTGAACACATCAAGTCAGCCTTTTTCAAGTTCTTGCTAGGTACTTTTGCCTGCCTTCTCTTCTTTATTGTGAATGTGACTATCAAAAGATCATGGAAATTCTTATTAACCCAAGTTGTGGCAGTCCTCTCACTGGTCAGTTTATAATGACCAAACTCAACAGGATTTCTTCTGATTACCAAAGGAGTTTTTAATGGTACAGGGAAGAGGAGGGGGCAGGGGAATCATCACCAAATAGCATCTATCCACAGCAACTATGACCCTGAAGAATTTTCTAAAGAAAGTGTATAATGTGAAAAAATAAAAACAGATAACACAACACAAATAAATAATATAATATATTGTTGATAGCAAGAGTAATTTCTATAAAAATTTCTTAGATATAAAAAAAATGTTCATAGCTTACTAAAAAGCTGAGAATCCAGTGTAAGTTTCTGACACATTTTCAACCTCTACTAATGAGCACATGGTTGGTGTTCAGAGGTACAGGACAGGGGTCTGCTGGCATGAAGATGCCAAGGGGAACTACACTCTTCATCAAGATAGGTATATAGTGCACATCTGAAACCACCAGATTCATGCATTAAAATTCTTCACCATTAATTATACAGCCTTAAAAAAAGACATTAGGTCAGTGCCCACCTTTTACCAATTTTCCTAAGTGCTGGTTTGTGATTAAATCAGCATTCCATTGGAGAGAAATGTGGCAATAACCTACAATCTCTCATATGATATTGGCTAATATAGAGGGGAAAACAGAAACTGAGCTTGACTCCCATGTGTGCCATGAAGATTAAGTTGTGCAGGCCCTAGAGCCAGGCTGTCTGGGTTCAGATCCCCATACGGCCACTTTGGAACTCAGTCATTGAAAGAACCCAGGAAATAAGAGTTCAAAGCTTTACACCAGCTCTTCCTTAGATGTGTAATTTCCAAGAGACTGATCTTGCTGAATCCCAGTTTCCTCCCTAGTAAATACGATGAAACGGTCTTCATGATGCTGTTCTAAGAATTAAATCAGAATACTGTGTAAGTGTGTGGTACATAACAGCTGTTTAGTCAGTGTTAGTTCCTTCCTGCCCTTCCATTTGTTATTAACAGTGCTATGAAAAAATATGAGTATCTGTGTGGAATGCAGTATTTTTTCTTTGTCAATTTTTGGTCACTTCTTCAAAACTAACCCTAGTATTCATGGAAGTATAAAGGATAAGAAATCGAGTTTTATAAGCTAGTGGGTGAATCATTACTATGGGTTCTAAGAGCAAATGCCCCACTGCTATATGTGTGGCTGTATTGCACAGATGTTCACTGCCTGACAAAACCATGAAGTCGCATGACATTCTATCAGATGGTAGAATGCAAGGGACCATAAAGACATGGGCTAACCTACTTTCCCATTTACCTTTGTTACCGCTCCTACACACTGAGCTCACACTGTCTTTGGTTATTCTGTAAGTGCACCTTACACTTACCTTCTCAAATTGTATCTTTGACATAGCATTTCTTCTAACTAGAAATGATTCTTCCCACTTTAAAATTAAGGCAAAACTAGCCATCTTTCGAGGGCTAGGTAGGTTTAAAAAACAGCACATGGCTTTTCCAAAGAGAAGTATGGTTTTCTTTTGAATTTCTGGAATATCTATGGCATTTGCACTTCTCATATGTACCCTTGACTTTCAGTTATTTGTGCTCAAGTACTCTCCTCTGCCAGGTGCATGCTGCTTTTTATTTTTTTTATTTTTATGTTTTATCCTCACCTGAGGACATTCTTTCATTGCTTTTGGAGAGAGAGGAAGGGAGAGAGAGAAACATTGATGCAAAAGGAAAGAATCAATTGGTTGCCTTCCATATGCACCCAGACTAGGGATCTTATGCACCTGGAACAAGGATTGAATCTACAACCTAGGCATGTGCCCCGACCAGGAATAGAACCCAGAACCTTTCAGTTACAGGATGATGCTCTGACCAACTGAGTCACACCAACCAGGGATGGGGTGCACACTTCTTGAGGGCAGGTCCTTATTCTCTACTTCTTTAAATCATATACTATACTGTTTAGGTCAGGGCCTAGAGAAGTAGAGATCTTCTATACAGTTAATGAATTACTTTCCATTAATTAATTAATGTATGCATTTATTGTGAATATTTATCAACCACTAGAACAAATTAGATTCAATGATGGACTTTTCCTGTTATAAATTTGTAATCCACATGACTCTGTCATTTCTGATATCTACTTTTCTTCCCTAGCCATCATCACAAAACTGGGATAAAAAGCTGAGTATTGATTCTTCACTCCCAAGTGGCTTTGCTAGTCCTACAGATGAACTACCTCCAATTCGTATCAAGGAAAGTCACATTTTGGAAGGACTAAGAAGGCTACAGAAGCAAAAAGTATTACTTGAGCCCCCATCATTGATAACCAAATGGGGTTATAAAGATTGCATGAACTCAAATGAAGGCATATACTCTCCAGGAATTAAGAGTAGTAGTCTCAAGGAGTACCCCCCTTGCAAACCAGCTGACATGGGGAAACCCTGCAAGGAGCCCCACAAGGCATTTGTTTATGACACAGATTCTCACGATGATGCTGATGAGGACTCCTCCTCCTTGGCATTGAATAAAGCCTTTCCAAACCAAGCCTGTAGGCTTCATGGTTGTAAATTAACTCACAGTGTTTCTGACAGTCTATTTGGCTGGGAGTTGAACAGAAAACACTTTTCAGAAGACACATCTTCGTCTTACCCCAGGGAAAGACTGGAAAAGTTGAGCACTTGTGCCAGCAGCTGTCCTTTGAAGAGGAAGCTGTGCCCAATGATGCAGGTACCTTGGGTGCAGAGAGAGAGGGGTCCCGACAGACAGGGCCGTGGCAATCTCCATCTTTCAGACACTGATGACAATGAAACCCTCGATGAATTGCATATAGATAGCAGCGATGAGAAAAGCCTTTCAGACTTGTCATTGACTGTGGACACCGACAAGTCCATGGAAAACCTGGACATCCTCATGGGACTTGGAAAACCTCAACTTGAGTCTCCTGATGAGGAGGAAAAACAAATGCCCATCCACTTAGAGAGTAGGCCAAAGATGTTCAGTTTCGTAAAGCAGCAAAGGGTTGTCAAAAGGACTTCTTCAGAAGAATGTGTTACTGTAATATTTGATGCAGAAGATGGTGAACCCATTGAATTCAGCTCCCACCAGACAGGCGTTGTCACTGTTAGCAGAAATGAAATTTCCATCAGTCAGGCCACCACTGGACCCAAGGAAGAGCACACTGAACCTGTACCTCAGGGAATTGCTCACTCACAGCCAGGGGCTGCTGTGAGAGACTACACTTTTGTAAGGAGACCTGAAGAGCAAACTGAGAAAAACATTCCAAAAGACTGTGCAGATAATGTCACCGAGGCACCCACTGAATCTTTCAGCTCCAGGACAGTAACGCAAAATACTCAGAGACAAAAACTGGCCAAACCAACACATACTGTGTCATGCCACAGTAATTATAGATCTTTGATGTCCATGGGTATCTGTCAGAAGCAAAATCTGACAAAAATACCTGCCAGGGGGAAGGCTTCACCTCAGAAATCAAAAATAGTAGAGCCTGAAGCCTCCACTAGAGCCCTCCCATCAGGCCCAGTGGTTCTTGAAAACTCACCAGCCTTGGCTCCTGGGAAACTCTCCCGGTTCAAGAGGACTGGAGGCCTAGGGCACCTCTGGGATGTACAGCCAGACTCACACATTCCAAAACGCAGCTCCAGAATGTCCAGCAGGAGAGATGGGGTCCAGTGCTCCAAGAGTCAGATTTCAGCACCACAGTTGCTGTCAAGGCCCCTCATTGAGCCTGGTGGCGTTGGAGAACCTCTCATAAGGGATAAGCACTGTGACCCTGGGCCAGAGGCAAGGGTGAAATCACCTTCTCCCCCACCCCCTCCAGGCAGGTCACTCTCCCTACTCATTAGGCCCAGTTATGACTATTTGCCACTGCCTTCGTCTGCCAAGACTGAAACCAGCATCACTGATGAAACAGCAAAGACTGTATTCAAACCAACCCCTCTGAAAGGATCCTCTGCTCCTCTCATTTCCCCCAATCACACAGAAGTGCAGGGGAAGAAACCTGTGGCCTTCAAAAAACCCATCTTTACTCATCCTCTGCCCTCCACAGAAACAGTGATTCAGACCAGATGCTCTGCTCATACCTCCTCCAGCTCATTTGCCATGATGTCCCCAGGGCCCCCAAAGGTCTCTCCAAAGAGAGGTGCCCCCAAAACCCCACCTCACCAAACCTTTGGGACCACACAAACAGACACAGGGTTACAGACTCCCAAGAATCGTTCTTCAGCCCATGAACCTCTGGACATATCATCCTCCACAAGTGTGTCTCCAGGAAGAAAAGGACAGCTGAATGACAGTGTCTCCACATCACCCAAGCCTCCCTTTTTAGGGGTAAATGAGTCACCATCATCTCAGGTTAACAGTCCCTCACCATCCTCCAAAAGCCATAATGCCCCACATGGTTGTCAGAATGCTCATGAGAAAAGTTTGAAAACTCGCCTCCCAGTTGGGCTCAAAGTTCTCATGAAGTCTCCCCAGTTGCTCAGGAAAAGTTCCACAGTGCCAGGGAAACATGAAAAAGATAGTCTCAATGAAGCCTCTAAAAGTTCTGCAGCTGCAAGCAAGTCAAAGTCAGAACATTCTGGGACTCCAGCAAGCCTTGAGGCCACAGTGGGCGAAAGACCTGTGACTCCTCTGAGTTTACAAGCACAAGGCAGTTTGGCTGAAGGGCTCCCCCCAGAAGCAGCAATGCCAGAGTCAATGGAAAATCACATCCCTGGGGCTGACAGAAAGGACGGAGTAGAAAACAGGTCTGTAAAAAGATCTCTTTCCTCCAACAAGCCACATCTGAAACCAGCTTTAGGCATGAATGGAGCTAAAGCCCGCAGCCAGAATTTCAGTGCTCACTCAGGTGAGAAGCCCCCCACACCCCCTATGGAAGGGCCAGGCAAAGTCCGAACTCAGATTATTACCAACACTGCAGAGAGAGGCAGTTCTCTGACCCGGCAGAGCTCCTCCACAGATGGCTCTCCCAGCAAGACCCCTTCAGCCTCCATGTCTGACAGCCTCCCCACTGCTGGGAGGGCCCTGGGCCATGCCCCCTCGAGACAAGGCTCCCTGGGGAGCACAGGCAGCTCCAGCAGCTGGCATGGAAGCCCTAGCAAGTTGCCTTTGAGGATCCCTCCAAAATCTGAAGGGCTCCTCACCCCACCTGGACCTGAAGACCAGCAGGCCTATGCCCAGGGAGGATGCCCAAGTGAGGCTGCACCTGAAGAACCAGGCAGGGACCACTGCAGATGCTCACCCACCCTGGCAGACTGCCCACGAGGCCTGCAGAGCCCAGGGAGGACACAGTGCCCAGGCAGTTTGGAAACAAGCAGGACCCCCAAGCTAGAAACTTCTGGAATCTATCCAAATACTTCTATAACCAGGACTAATGCTATGAGCCCAGAAGCCCCCCTCTCACCCACAATCGAAGAAAAGGTCATGTTGTGCATTCAGGAGAATGTGGAAAAGGGCCAAGTGCAAACAAAGTCCACAACTGTGGAAGCGAAGCCAAAGCCTGGGCCTTCTTTTGCCAGCTGGTTTGGTTTTCGGAGGAGTCGACTTCCCGCTCTCAGTAGCAGGAAAATGGACGTCTCCAAAACCAAAGTGGAAAAGAAAGATGCAAAAGCCTTGGGCTTTGGAACTAAGCAGTTAAAATCAGAGAGAAAAAAAGAGAAAAAGAAGCCTGAGCTCCAGTGTGAGATAGAAAATGAGCTTAACAGGGATACAGAGCTGGCAGATCCTCCCAACGGGAGTTTACAAAGCAAAAATAATCTAAAAACACCACACGACATTTACGACCAAATGAAGTTTGAACCAAGAAATAGACCCAGTCCTGTTCCATGTGCAACAAAAGATACCTTTATGACAGAACTTCTGAACAGGTAAGGCATGGGCAAAGAGGGTGATGGTGTCGGGGGTGGGGGGCCTTACCCACAGGGAGAGTTGTTTGCTTCCTGAACATTAAATGCCAGCCAAGCATGTTTTTCATAAAATCAGAAATTCAGGATAACATTTTTTTATACATTAGCCAAAATTTAAACAATGAAATAAAAGTTAGCAATAAAATGATAATTTAGTCCATGTTACTTTGTTAACCAAACCAATGGTCTCTGAAATTAAAGAATGGTAAGTTTTATTAAGGTTGAAAGAAATTCAGCCTATACTAGGACCCATGAATGTATCCACATAGCATGAAATAGAAGGAAATTAAACATGCATTCTAAAGTATGCATATACTAAGCAAAAGTATACTGAGAAACTTCCAGAGGAAATTACATTTCCTGCTGATCTTAAGTCAGAAATGCAGTTAGCAATCACTTTTCAGTGGTTTTTACTGCCCCCCCATCTCACAAGCAGTCATAAAATAAAAATAAAGGATTATTTTATCAAATCTAAGTTGACACACTACTGGAATATCAGGTAAAGATTTGATCAAGGCCACTGAGAGACACTATCACTCAAAGAGTTAAAGACAAAGAGGTATGTGGGGGTTACTTTAAACATTAAAGAATTGGGAAAATAGAGTGATTGAAGAAGAGCAATGTAATTTATCAGAGGAATCACTTTCTACCTGCAGAGTTGATAAGAGAGCAGCTCACCAGACAGAAAGTGGATCAAATAATGTTTCCTGCAGGAGTGTGTTAAAGGGCAGCTCCCAGGGCTCCTGTCTCACCAGCAGCTCTATCAGCACCCAAGGAAACCAGAAGAAAAACATCAGAACCAAAGCTGAGGGGGAAATACCAAAAGGGTCCCAGGTAAGTGCTCCACCATCTGGTTATCAACTGTTAGATTCTCCGACAGACTGGTTTGGGTTCTTTCTCCCTTTCATTGACAAAAATATATGGGCAAGAACACATTATGGGGTAAAGAGAAAGTTAAAACAAGAGAAAAAAAGAGGGAAAGCTTGGTGACAACTATAACTGAGAGATGGCAGCTGGGGGGCGAGCAGGCCTGGCCCCCTTCAGTGATGCTGCTTTTTTAGCATCTTCAGAACGAGGGCGTGATCATAGTGCAGGCAGATGAGGCTGCTGGAGTCATCGGAAAATTATACCCTGATGCTGGAACTCTGTTTTGGTGATTATTTCCATCATTTCCAGCAATACAAGGAGGAGTGAATATCATTGTAAAAAATAAAAGTGCTGAACTGTTTGAAAGAAAATTGACTATTTAGATGATTTGATTTAATATGTACCAAATAGAAGGTGTTAAGACTAAGAAATCCTTTCTGGAACTTGACTCCCTAGCCTTTAGTTTTTTAATTGAGAATTTCAGAACAAAGTGGGTAATGTCCTTTTTAAAAGAAGGGGGAGGGGAAGAATTGGGGGAAAAGGTACAGGGAATAAGAAGCATAATTGGTAGGCACAAAATAGACAGGGGGAGGTTAAGAATAGTATAGGAAAGAGAGAAGCCAAAGAGCTTGTATGTCCAATCCATGGACAGGAAGTGAGGGGGAGGGAAATGCTGGAGGAAGTGGGTACAGGGCAGAGGGGGATAAAAGGGAGAGAAAAATGGGACAACTGTAGTAACATAATCGATAAAATATACTTAAAAAATAAAAGGACATTTTTATATTTTCCCAGGGTATACCAGTTTCAAATAATACTTTTGTTTTAAAATTAGCTTAAGCTGCACTTATTCACTTTATATTCTTTCTGTGCTTGCATAACTGATTTGGTTATGTTCAATGTTTCTTTCTGTAAGCTTTAAAGCAGTTAAACAAAAAAAATTCCCTTCACAGAATTACTGGCTGTGTTCATATATTTTTATACTCTTGTAAACTAGATTGTACAATATAATGCATGCCATCGTTTTCTTAAGGAAAACTTAAAATATGAAGTAATAACACATTTTTTCTAGAGTAGTTCAAAAATAGATGAGGCTCTACAAGTAATCATGATTGGTATTAGTAGTTATTAATTATTAATTTAATAGCTTATTGATGTTTAGTGTTCCTTATAGTTTCACAGACATACTGTAATTTGAGATGAGTGCATATTTAATTTTTTTTTTCAAAAGCTCTTGACTCTAAGGACATGTAAGGCCTTTTAAAAAGAAAACTCTGGAGTCATGTTCAGACTATCTTCTTTGCAAAAGCTTTTTTTTCTATTTCCCCCCGCTAGACTCTTGACTTCCATTGGAATCATCTCTTCTGTGAAAATGTAGATGTGCCCTGCATTATAAAACCGCAAATTATAAGCATATCTAGGCTGCCCTTGTGTCATGTAAGGAAGCAGGGAGAACGAACAACGTGTGGAAATGTACAATATGCCAGAACTTCAGTCTAACTGATCTAAAACTTTGATAGCCTGGCAGAGCCCTTATCAGACACACTCAATTTAACTATGCCCATTCAATATGGTTCTGACAGCAGAGAGTATATCTTCACTGTACAGAAGTCCCTAAAAAAACAAAAAGACCCTCTGCTTTATTTTTACAATTTTATTTTTGCTTTCTCATTGCTTCCTAATGTAAAGCAATTTGTCATGCTTGTCCTCTCTCCCCCACAGTCTTTCACAGTGTAGTGAGAGGTTTCCTTGAGTCCTTCCAGAATAACTGCAGGAAACAGTCTTATTATTTTCTGTGAAGTACAGAGATTCCCTAAACACCCCATGTATACATAATCAACAGGGGTATGCTAATTCTTCTAGTTAGCTGCAGGACAAAATTAGTCATGCTGGGAAGTTTTCCCATACAGAGGAACGCTATTAACCTGGATAGCTGACCAGCTAGTCATTTTTTTTAATGTAAAATGCAATGTTTTTCATTTCATCTCCATAATCATCATTGTAGTGTGGGCTAAAGTTACTAATTGCAGAAAGGACATTACCATAGTCTCCACTGGGACTAGTACACGAATAGCACTGAAAAACCTACTTTCTTATATGTCTTCAGCCCATGTAGGAAAGAGATTAGATGCAAAGTAAGATGTATTGTATACCATGGCACATTGATGTGAATACCCAAGAACCTTTTAAAATTCAGAGTTTAAAGGAATTTTCCCCCACTAGGGCTCAAGGTAAATTTGCTCTCTGCTTATTTCAAAGTGTGTTGCAAAGAATTCTTCTGATAGTAGTTACTTTGGATGGAAACAATAGCTGCACATAATGCATTACATAGCATACTTTTTTCCTGAATAAAACCATTAAAAACCTTATAATTTAATATGCCACTATCCCTTGCCTTTTGCAAACTAAGACTATATTTAGTTATGAGGATCCTAAGGCATTATAATTATTTTAAACTACAGTAATAACAGTAGAAAGATTATTTCTATACCTATTACAAATCCATGTATGTAGCAGACCTCCATTTAGTTCACTGGTAACTGCAAGTCCATTTTCAGGATTGTTAGATACATTCCAACATGTGTATAATTCCCATTAATGCTTTGCTGAATTAAAACTTTTTCTCCTTTAAAAACCTTAATTAAAGGCATATGTCCCCATTTATGTCATTATTTACAGTCCACTTAGTTCTAATTTTGTGTAATTTAGACATGGACCATGTTACTTTGTACTTTTATTTAAATTATATAAAACCATTATAAGAGGAGAAAAGGCATCCCCAGAAAAGATAATTCAGAAAGAAATGCACTCTGCTTGCTACATGTTGCAAGTCCTTCCTGCCTGTAGATTTAGATAATTTTCTAAAATGAGAAGTCTCAAAGAAAGAGAGCTCCAGCCTGCTATCTATCACTGGACAAAATAAAAACCGATAACTAAATTAATGGTACCATATACTTCATCATGCAGTGGAAAGAGATGGCCATTTTAATGAGTATTTTAATTTAAATTATTTCATGTTATCTCACCTACTGTCACAAGGTCTGAAAAAAATCACATATGCTAATAAAAAAGCCTCAAGTATTATCTCATTAAAATGGTCCAATGGTGATAAAATAGCACAAAATATTACAATAATGACAATTTATCATCTTATTAAGTTCTGCAAACTGTTATAATGTCAACATTCTTAATTGAACAATCCTATTCTAAATGCTATTTTGATGCTAATAAGAAACACACGGCCCTGGCTGGTGTAGCTCAGTGGATTGAGTGCAGGCTGCGAACCAAAGCATCACAGGTTCGATTCCCAGTCAGGGCACATGCTTGGGTTGCAAGCCACGGCCTCCAGCAACCACACATTGATGTTTTTCTCTCTCTCTCTTTCTCCCTCCCTCCCCTCTCTAAAAATAAATAAATAAAATCTTAAAAAAAAAAAAGAAACATGCATATTTTGCTCTCCTCCTGAAAAGTTTTTCTAAATGACTAACCATTCTGCAGGCATTACCTTCTCGGAGCTCTGCCTCCAAAGATCACTTCCCATCTCCCTTAGGTTCATTGTGTGCTTTTGCCTTCTCAATGAGCTTTAACATGCACTTGGAAAAACATTAGGGTTAGGATGATTCAGAGAAGAAATATATTCAGAATTCCAAATGAAGGGCATCATCCCCAGGTATCGGGTTTAATTCTGTAAGTATGTATGTATATTGGCCAGTGGTTAATGGTTTCTCCCTTTTCCCTCCTGTGTCCTTTGTAAGCTCATTCCTCCTTGCCTTTTCTAATGATAGGGATTAACAGAATATAATGAGTTCAATGATATTTAGTAGTCACCTGTTATAGACTTATATTTGGTACCATTCTTATCTACAACTGAGCTCAAAAAGTGGACAAGAGTTGGAAATGCACTATTAGAAGGTTCCCAAAGTACTGGCAACAAATTTAAACCAAAAACAGCCCATAGTTATTGCCAGTGAATAACCTGTTACTTCTTACCAAAAGGGATATTACTGATTATATCTGTTCCTGGTAGAGCAGTGATTGAGAAAATCTAAATCTCTAACCACCTTTGTTTTCTGAGCTGAACGTCTTGATTTGGTGACCACTCCTATCTTTGAAATGCCTTGCCATGTGAAGATTGTTCCACTTGTGTCTATCTTTGGCAAATTTTAAAGCTTGAGTGGGCAGCCCCTTACCCCAGGAAGCTTCCCACAGCCTCTCAACACTCAAGCACTATGTAATCAAGAATGAAAATTTATGTTAATTTTAGCCTATGAAAAATGTAATTAGCAAGGAGAGTCTGCTGTCAGCATAAATTATGCCCCTTATTGCCATAGGCAAATGGATTTTTTAATTACTTACCACTTTGCATAGCAATCTGTTTGTATGGATGGAGTCAACAGGTAGGCCATTCTAAGACACTCACCCATTTTACATTCTGTCCCTAAATCTTCATCCATCTCCTTCAAGTTGAAAAGTCCCTCTCGTTAGTCATCTGCCCCTCAGGGGTCAATTAGCCCAGGAGAGCTGAAAGAACTAGGGGCCTCATCTCCAAGCCCAGTTTCTCCGATAAATCCCTAGAGACTACATTTAGTATTTGCTGTTAAAGGCACATAAAGCCCTAGAAAGGTTCTGCCAAGGAGCTGACAGGTAGGACTACATGCTGGCTTCTGTTTTCTTTCTCAAATATGATACTTGGAGAAAGATGATGGTAAGTTTCATAGAAAGGGAAGTAGGGAAAGCAAACAGGTCAGTTATACACATGCACCACAACAACACACACAGTGAAAATCATTGCTACTCTTAAATAAAGTTGTGGTTTATGTATACTTGGAATCCTGCCTAAACATCTAACTGCCAGACATGAAGAAAAATATAGTAATTCTTGGGAAGGTCTGGAAAAGGATGCCTATAACAACATGGTGCTCTCTGAACAGTGAATTACAGCAGTGAATAGGGATAAGGAATGCCCACTGCAAAACTGAAATCCTGTGTGCCCTTGAACAGGTCACTAGCCCTCTCTGAGCCTCTTTTTTTAATCTATAAAATGAGGATCTTGTTCTAATTTTTAGATTCTTTAATTTAGAGTTTCATAGGCTGATGGAGATGAATTACCCACATTCCAGTAAGTAGGCTAGCAGGTCATCCCTTTAAGCTGAAAATGGGTCAATTTAGAAAAACCTAAGGGAAATGCTATCTTACTTAACAGGTAGAGGAAAATATGGAACATATTGCCATTAAGAGTTGGCATGGGCTGAACATATAAGCAAATTTCCTTGATGTTTCTATAAATGAAGACAAAAGGTTGTTGTTGGATTACTTATGGAAATTAAGGTGTTTGGGTAATGTCTTCCTCAGTGAGTCTTTGGTATCCTTGCCACAAACAGATCATTGAGCATAGTGAACTGTGGAAGGCAAATAAATAACATGCCGACCTCACTAATGCTCATAGTACTTTCCTCTCTGACATCCATAAATGTGCACTACTATAAGCAGAGCTCATTAAGGAAAGTAGGAAAGTTTTTACCCAGGTTTCCTAACTTTCTACCTCTGGAGGTGCTAACAATCAGGGAAGTACCTACAGAGCAGACAGCTGTTGGGAAAATGATGAAACATGGCCTCTGGACGTTCAACCCCTAACGATCTCTTCTTGTGAGGTTGGATGGCCATCCACATACTCTCATGAGTTTGATATCTTCTGGCTCTCAGCATGCACAGATTAAGCACCAGTTACAATGTAATATTAGAACTATAGTCATAAAATGTAAATAATTGTTCCTATTCCATTAAATATGAAAATAGGAGGTAAAAAGTAAAAAGCTAAATTCAGCTCAAGGCTAGTATGCAACCATATGACTTTCTACATCATGAATATAAAATAAAAGTTTCTTGGCATTCAACTCAAGCCCTTGAGCAAATCTACCAACAACCATAACCTCTAATGTACGTGCCTGAACAGAACCCCCATTGCATTCAGTACACAGTTCACCTTATTATTGGCTTCCCCGGTGACTGGCAGGGATGTATTTTTTAAAAGCTTTTTCGGGTCATTATGCCAAGGGCCACAGTCTACACTGTCAGATTCAAACAGAAATTTTGGAATAACAGAGTACACCCAAATAAACACAAATCTCAAACCAGGTTTGCTGTATTTGAATCTCAGTCCCATCACCTGTATAATTTACTCATCTTGTCTGTTTATCCAGGGTCCTTCTCTCAAAAATGGATCTAACAATAGCACATGTCTCCTCATGTTGTGAGGACTATGAAATCATGGGTGTGAATGTCTTAGTCAGCATCCCATACATAGTATAGTTTGCTGTTTTTATCATTGTTGATACTGTTGATACTCTTATTATTACTGGTGCTATCAGACTGGGAAGGCAGACCTAGGTTTTAGTTCCAGTGTTGTCACTTAAAATACATTTAAGGAAACTTGCTGGATCTCAGAATTCTCATTTGTAAAATACTGTAATGTTATTAGATCCTCTCTAGAGTTCCACTTGATTCTACACCATCCAGCATCTGGATATTCCAACTGAACTATAAGGGAAATGTTTTTGATCTGAAAACTCTAGATAAGTGTGTCACTACTCTAGTTCATGGAACATACATCATAGTCACTTCATGTCTCATTGTAGGAAGAACAAAAAATACCATATCATTTTCTTAACATTACAGTATAGGAAAGGGTCAGGTTATCTAAGTACATTTCTTTAGTCTTATTAAAATTTGCAGTGGAAGTCACTGACTCTGGAAGAATTATATTTTCTTAGACTTTAATTTTTTTCCTTAGAGCTCTGTGTTGCTAGCCTTATTAAATATTAAAACCAAAGCTGTTATCTCTAAAATCTTATGTAGAATTAGGTCCATATGAGTCGTTATTTTTAGAGCTGGGGTTATATTTTGGCAAATATGCTCTTATAATTAAAACTTGTAATAAAGCCAAGTGGTAGAATGGGGAAAAGTGGAATGAAGAAAATATATATGTGTGTATATATATGCACATATATATGTTGTAGAATCTGCCTTTATTCTGAGGATGGCAAAAGATTTATTTAACATAATGAATAAGAGCTTAGAGTAATTTTTTGTTGCTGCAGATAAGAGAGGCAAATGAAAACCTGCAAGAGGATGAAGAAGATACAATTGTAGATTCTGCATTTCAGAGCCACATCATAGGTAAGAATTCATGCCTTGATACATCTTTAGCTGAGATATTGACTACATGAGAGCTTTTTTCAGACTCAGTGTGTTCCTCCAGACCATGTCTTATGCCTCTCACTATCAAGACTGGGTTTTAACTTCTCTCACGTGGTTACCTTTGTCTTCTTAGACATTGGAAGCTACTATAAAATAAGTGGGTCAAAGCAGAAGCTATGAAGAAAACATAGGTGTTTGCAAGGGAATCGCAAAGCAAACTAATGAGAAGTGAGTACTTGTCAATATAACATGAGAATAATATTGAGTATAAATAATAGTTCTCTGAAGAGAAAATCAGTTTTGAATTGATCCAGTTTCTCTGGTAATTGTTTCAAGAAGCACCTTGTACAACTACTCTTTGTTAGAAATGTGGATTGGGGTGGCAGCTTTCTGAAATTGAATGCTTTTAATTGGATGGTTTTTACACCAAAGAACCAAGGGATTAAGTGCATATGGCTTGCCAAAAGTCTTCAATTCATTTTCTTTATTATTTCTGTTAGAATTCTGTTTATAAATAGGCCTGTCTCAGAAATAAGTTCAGCTTGTCAGCCATTTCTTAAAGTTATGCATAACCCTAACTTGAAGGAGCTTAGGTTCCCAACCAAAGGGACTTTGCTGACCTGTTTTCAGTAGCCAGAAAGCAACTGATGATGGAGTAGCTGTCTGTGACTGTGACCCTCTCCAGGCAATGGAAGAGGTGATGACTTTGAAAGCTCTGCTTGCCACCTTGCACACTTGCAGAATTAGTTTTTCTGTGGACTCTAAAAAAGGCTGTGAATATAAGCATGCTGATTCTTTAGATTTATGAGTCCACCAAGGCACGATGGACTCATTTCTTCAAATCACATGTGGGTGTAGTAGATAGTCTTGAATCCCATGTTCTAGGACATGGCAGCTTAAAAGATTTCTGGTTTCTGGTATAATCATTATCCACAACTCTTGCCGTTTCACCAGAGGACCATCAGCTGCCAACCCTCAGTGTCTCACTGCTCTTAGCACCATGTTGCTACACTTTGCAGCTGATTTTCTAAGACACCTCATCTTCTGCAAACCATAATTTATAGTTTATCTCAAAGAGTTATTATCCCCATGGCTTAATGAGACTGGCACACCAATTTTATTCTTTTCATTGGTAATTGGGAATACAAAGGTCTTGACAAAGCTGAACGAGTATAGTCTGAATAAGATTATTATTCCAAAAAGACATCCTTTATTATGGATGTCAATGTAAAATGCTTAAATTGGTAGCAGTTCTGCATAGTTAGCTGATAAGCAAGTTAAATGTTGTTTAACAGCCTTCAAACATGACACTGTGGGAAGCCCCCAGAGTCATCATTTTTCCATAACAAGATGTTTTTGAGCCTAAGACAACTATGTAAACTGAAAGCCTGCATTTTCTTCAAGAGAACTAGTAAATTTTCTTAGTAGACTAGCAATTCTTTTGATCTGTGCTGTTCAACATGATAGACAGTAGCTACCAGTTTCAAGATAAATTAATTTCAGTTTCAAGATAAATTAATTTAAACTATGCAAAATTAAAACATTATTTCTTTAATTGCAACTAGCCATTTTTCAAGTGTTCAATGGTCATGTATTCTGTATCATCTATGTGAATACTACCAGCATCAGATAAAGTTCTTTTGGAAAGTGCTGCTTTAGATTACTTGCACAAAAGTAAATTTCAAACATATTTCTGACAGAGAGCTGGCTTGGGCTTCACATAAGTGTAGACTTATCTCAAACTGGTAGAGAACTATGTGAATAAGCTGCCTTGGCTGCAAGTAACAACAACAACAACAAAACTAACTAGCCATTATTAAAGTAATAAAGTCATTTAATCATTTTGTTTAATTAAGAGTCTGGGAGGAAGGCAACACAAGAGGTATAGCCACTTAACAATGTTATTAAAAGCCCTTGGCCTTTTGTCCTCATACTTGTTGCCTTTGATTGCAAATTGATTTCTGCCACTCCAGGCGTCCCATCCACATTCAAAGCACAAACTATAAGGAAGAGTATAAACTCCCCAAACCCTCCCCCATAGGCTCCACCTTACATGTCAGTGGTGAGAACCAGATCATAAGGCCAATGCTAGCTGCAGGGCATGTGGGGGAAGTATGTTGCTTTCTAGCCTGTGTGGCTTGAAGTATTAGGAAGAATGGTATTGAGAATGTTTCCTGGGCTAACCCATCAATAAGATCACCACAAACATTTTTAAAAGTTCATCCATTTTAAGGCTGAATGAGACTCAACATGTCAAGTGGTTATCTTTTTTCTATAAAAAGGAATGAGAATATATTTTTTAGCACTCTGATAATCCCACTGTTCTTCCTTTTGTCTAGACTAAGTATTGCCACATGTCCTCACAATATTTTATAATCATAGAATATTTCCAATTATAACAACTAAGCAAATCTCAATGTGTTCTTCTTCTAACTAAGTATCAGCTAATGTCTCTGACAAAGCAGAACAATCAGAAAATTTATGTATTGTCTGAATGTTTGCATTTCAGTCATTTAAAAATAATCATGTTAGTTTAATCAAAATTTTATTAGTTGATTACAAGATAAGATGTTCTTAACTAAACCTGCTCTATACTGAAATTCAAGATTTATAAATTAAATAAAATGAGATTTTTCTGTAAAATTACCCTAGTAAATATCAGAATTCCATGTTAAAAAGCAATAAGCAAATGACTATCCTAGTCTAATAGAAGTATTAGAAGACTTCGGCCAGTGGAGGCATAGGTAAATAGATTTTGCCTCCTTACACAACCAAAAATAGGACAACAACAAATTTAAAAGCAAACACAATCAGAACTGCCAGAAAACTGAACTGTATGGAAGTCTGACAACCAAGGAGTTAAAGAAGAAACACTCATCCAGACCAGTAGGAGGGGCGGAGACAGGCAGCTGGGCAAAGAGGACATGCCACCAGGCAGCGGCTGGTGGTCCCACAATTGCATGGGGGTAAACTGGGAGGAACAACTGGGGATCAAGACAGACATGGAACCCAGGGTTCCAGTGCAGGAAAAGAAAGCCTCAAAAACTCTGGCTGTGAAAACTTGTTGGGGGTACAGTGCTGGGAAAAACTCCCATACTCACAAGAGAGTTCACTGGAGAGACCCACAGGGTCCTAGAACATACACAGACCCACTCACCTGGAAATCAGCACCAGAAGGGCCAAATTTACTTGTGTGTAGTGGGGGAAGTGACAGAAAACCAGCTGAGAGCTGAACAAGCACCATTGTTCCCTCCTTAACCCCTCCCCCACATACAGCACAGCAACACAACAATGTAGGTTGCCCCACCCTGGTGAATACCTAAGGCCCTGCCCCTTACAACATAACAGGTACACCAATACAAAGAAATACAGCCCAAACAAAAGAACAGATCAAAACTCCAGAAAAAGAACTAAGTGATAAAGAGATAGCCAACCTATCAGATGCAGAGTTCAAAACACTGATAATCAGGATGCTCACAGAAATGGTTGAGTATGTTTACAAAATGGAGGAAAAAGTGGGGCTATACAAAGTGAAATAAAGGAAAATGTACAGGGAATCAAGAATGGAGGGAATGAAACCAGGACTCAAATCAACAATTTGGAGCAGAAGGAAGAAATAAACATTCAACCAGAACAAAATGAAGAAACAAGAATTTTTTTTTTTAAAAAAGGAGAGGCTGAGGAACCTCTGGGACAACTTTAAATATTCCAACATCCAAATCATAGGGGTGTCAGAAGGAGAAGAGGAAGAGCAATAAATTGAAAACTTATTTGAAAACATAATGAAGGAAAACTTCCCCAATCTGGCAAAAGAAATAGATTTCCAGGAATTCCAGGAAGCTCAGAGAGTCCTAAAGAAGTTGGACCCAAGGAGGAACACGTCAAGGCACATCATAATTACATTACCCAAGATTAAAGATAAGGAGAGAATCTTAAAAGTAGCAAGAGAAAAAGAGACAGTTGCCTACAAAGAAGTGCTCATAAGACTGTCAGCTGATTTCTCAAAAGAAACCTTTCAGTCAAGAAGGGGCTGGGAAGAAGGATTCAAAGTCATGAAAGGCAAAGACCTACATCCAAGATTATTCTAATCAGCAAAGCTAACATTTAGAATGGAAAGGCAGATAAAGTGCTCCCCAGATAAGATCAAGTTAAAGGAGTTCATCATCACCAAGCCCCTATTATATGAAATGTTAAAGGTAACTATCTAAGAAGAAGAAGATCAAAACTGTGAACAGTAAAATAACAACAAGCTCACAACTATCAACAACTGAACCTAAAAAAGAACAAAAACAAAAATAAACTAAGCAAAAAACTAGAATAGGAACAGAATCACAGAAACAGAGATCACGTGGAGAGTTATCAGTGGGAAGGGGAAGAATGGGAGAAAAGGTACAGGGAATAAGAAGCATCAGTGGTAGGTACAAAATAGATATGGGGAGGTTAAGAATAGTATAGGAAATGGAGAACCCAAAGAACTTTTATGTACTTGATCCATGGACATGAACTAAGGTGGGGGGGGCAGGGGTGGATGCTGGTAGGAAAGGGGTGCAGGGTGGAAGGGAATAAAGGAGAGAAAAAATGGGACAACTATAATAGCATAATCAATAAAATATACTTAAAAAAGAAGTATTAGCACTAATAATCACAACTGCCATAGTTTTCATTGTTCTGTTTTTGTTAGTTAACTAGTATAACAGATTTCACCCATATATATTATACTAATTATAAATAAAAACTAAATAATCAGTAGGAATTCAAATACTATTGTCTCATATTAAAACATAACCCAGGGGTAGCATCAAAAATAATCCCCTAAGAGTATTTGGAAATTCCTGTACAGGGGAAAATATTTATTTTGAAGAGTTTGAGGAAGAAGCCAAACTGAATTGAGGGATATCCAAGAAAACAAGGGTGCATGGTAGACCCATCAAGTGAAGGATACATGTTATTTTTCCTAAACCTAAAAAAAGTTACAAAAA